CAGAGTCGGTTCCAGCATCAAAAGGTAATAGATCGAAGGTCCTCTCAGCAACCCATGAGCAGTCGGGAAGACAGAGATTCACGGACGAAATGCCCACACACCAGTCCGGTGATGGACCGAACATAGTTGCCAACGAGGCCAAGTGGTGATATCTGAAAGTGTCATCAGAGAGCTTAGGAACTCCAACGCAACAAAATCACTCTTTAAAAAGTACTTGTTCACGACGAAACTCGACTTTGTGCGACCTTGAACCTCCGGATACCATAGACCCTTCACCTTCATGAGAGTTCGCACCTCTGCAGCCTGAAACTAAGTGTGATTAAGATTTTTCTAAGGTGCATGGACCTTGGTCACCTTCTCTTTTGCTTCAGCTTCTGCTTTGAAAGTGTTTCCCCATTCGGCGATCTCTTTCATTCCATCTGTGGAAATTCCGCCATATTTTCCATAAGGAGTAGTTTTTTGAATGGGAAGCACCAAGCATGTCGTGAAATGTGTAAGATGCTCCACTGAAAGGCAGAAGTAGCCATAAGCATTGTGTGATTGATTGTGATTAGTATGAAAATGTGGGTAAACAGCTACTGTTAAAATGGGGATCAGCTTTTCCCTTTTCGGTAATAAAGTTCAGCCCATACAGACTACGTTTAATTGACATTAGTGTTTGTAATTTCGAAATACCCAGCCGGCCTACGGTGCTCGATGATTCATTCTGCTTTTGAAAATTTGTAGTACCTACTCATTTTTTCCAACAATTAAGGGTGAAACTCCAGTTCGGGGGGGGGGGGCACTCCATTGCTATCTTATCCGTAGTACTAGAGAGCAGTTCTTTGGGCTATCGAACACTACGGATAAGATAATAAGTGAACGACTCATTTCGAGCGTACTTTTGATAAGGACCGGTGGATGTCCTACATTCCACACTACCTGCCCACATCCCATCCACTTTTCTGCACAGGTGATCCACCCTGGAGCTCCTGCACCCTTAGCCCTTTGCGGAGGTGTCCTTTCTCCTGGTCCAGGACCGTTCCCTTGGGTCATGGCAGGCGGAAATGTGAAAACGTTTCAGGGTTTCTCACCCATTACACCAATATTTATCAGAAGTCTACTTTAAATGAGTCGATTACGTGTCGTGAGCCCTCTAATCCTTATCTTGAGTATTGGAGAAAAAATGGAGTGGCCCCCCCGAACTGGAGTTTCACCTTTTGAACCATTTATAATAGCATTCTACGCTCGTAGTCATAATCAACCAGACCTGCGTACCCTTTCCATTGGTAGATCCCTTCTTCTTCAACTCCGAGGAAAGAGCCACCCTTAAAGAAAGACCCCGACTCGCTCCACCTTATGCTCAGCGTCAAATGTGCCTCGAAGACCCACCCATTCCTGGCTGATGTGCTGCTGTTGAACGTAGGGTCGTATATGGGATTTTTTTGGTGTGACTACTTCATTCCCATTCCTACTACTATTTTTACGCCTGTAGGCCTTTCTTCAAATGACGAGGTATTTCGCGAACTACGTGATTGAAATTCTTTCGTGATTGTTTCCTTGCTCCTTTCCGCTAAATCCAGCTCGTATTACTTGGTCGCAGCACAACATTCCAGAGGTTAGGATCGCCACTGGCACCAAACTTTTTGTAGGCCCTCTGTGAAAGAAATCTCACAATACGCCATATAACGAATAAAATCAAAAAGTGAAAATAAAAAAATGAAGCAATAATTAATAAATTTTATAATTATAAAATATAAGTGAAAATAACGAATAGGTGTACGGGATGAAATGGAAATATAATAGTGCTGCATACGTGTGAGGACTCATTTATAGAATGCACAATTTCATGAAAGAATAATTGGGAACGGAACCTCGTTCCACACGGTTTCCCTTCTAGACAATTAGGGTGCAGTTCTATGACTTTATGAGGCATTTCAAATATCAGTACATTTGCCTTTTTGGATTACTGCGAAATAGAGGCCAAGGAAGAAGCGCTTAAACAACTATCCAATATCGTTGAATCAAAGCTGTAGAACCTACTCGTACCAATAAAAAGTCATCTCTGATTTTAGAAAAATCATATTTTTACTAAATAAGTTCACTTTTGACGAGCACAGAGATCACTGAGAATAGAATTTCTGGAGAAGAAACAATTTGTTCTGAGAGTTTGTTCCTTTCACTCTCTTGAAACGTTCCTGATCTGAAGGTGAGGAACACCTACAGGAGCTGCTTATCGTCGTTCAGAGAGTTTTACACATTTCCGTTAAATGAGTTTTGCAAAGATCAATCATATGGAGGTACTGGTGCCAAGACCGATGGTACCACGCGATGGATGTAAAATCTTTCCTTGAATTCCAACAAGGCTGCTGCGTTGTCCTGGTTAAAGGCAAACCACTTAGCCCGACTAGTTGGAGGGATACCACGAGGGAAATTGTACGGTCCGCACCTATGTACCTAAATCACTCCATCACTAAGGCCTTAATTTCAATGTTCCCAAAGAGTTCTCTTGCTTTCCTCCCACTTTCAGGTCGTTCCGCAGCTAAGCTATCACTACGAAGCGCTCTTAGCACCAGTTTAATCCCGGGTTTTGCCTTTAAATACTTTAAAATAAATACTTTATACTAACAATGCCTGATCAGGCGGCCTTGAGTATTCAAACTAGGTAGGATTCTAATGCTACAGCTGATCCTCGTTCAAAATAAGGCACAAAGGAGAGAAATGAAAAAAGAAAGAAATGAGAAGAATTGGCACCTTCAATGCAGAACTTCTTTGTCAGCTGGTTCTCCTCGGAATACCACACGTACTTCGATTCGATAACTGATGCACGAAAGATCACACAGCCTGTAGATACCTG